CAATTGTCTCATAAATGTAATAAAATTATTAGTAGTTTATTTGGATCAGGACCCAAATAAGGTAGATTCACTGAAGTTGATTGACATGCCTCTTAAATCGCTTTTAATCTATAGGTTTCTTTTTTCACCTTACGGAAAATGATGGAAGTTTACTAGATTCTTATACACTATTCAAACAAGGGTGGAAAGTGTCTAAAATACTTTAGTCAACACTGCAAGCTACCAATCTCATCAATAACAGGCCATTCTTAACACCCACTATGTTAATTATTAATAAGCCACTCAATACGCAAATGAAAAGCCATTTCTAACATTCATCATGCTAATTAGTGAAGTCTCTGGTGTTTCTCAAAGATAGTTGAAGCCCTTGAGGTAATTCCCTATTTGGCTTTTGATCAGATGCTGGCTGACTCTTCTGGAAGTGTGTATTCCAGCTTAGGCCAACTGATGGCCCCTGGAGTTTAACTTAAATGACACATATATTTAAATCGCCCTGTGTCTTAGAGTGAGTTCCTTAAAAACAGACTCCAAGGGACTTCCCTGGTGGTCTCGTGGTAAAGAATCTGCCTTCCAATGTGGGGGACACAGGTTCAATCCCTGGTCGGGGAGCTATGATCCCACATGCTGCAGGGCAACTAAGCCTGTGTGCCACAACTACTGAGCCTGCGCTGTAGAGCCCACAAGCCACAACTACTGAGCCCGTATGCCACAACTACTGAAGGCCGCGCGCCTAGAGCCCGTGCTTTGCAACAAGAGAAGCCACCACAATGAGAAGACTGCACTGCAGCGAAGAGTAGCCTCTGCTCACCACAACTAGAGAAAGCCCGCGTGCAGCGACAAAGACCCAACACAGAGAAAAATAAATAATTTTTTTAAAAAATTAAAATTAATTAATTTAAAAAATGCTGATAACAATTTTAAAATGTGTATGAAAACAAAAAAGACCTACAACAATCAAAGTAATTTTGAAAAGAACAATGTTGCAAGACTTATACTATGTGTTATTTTTATAGACTTTTTTTTTAATAGATTTTATTTTATTTATTTATTTTTGGCTGCGTTGGGTCTTCGTTGCTGCACGCGGGCTTTCTCTAGTTGTGGCTAGCAGGGGCTACTCTTCGTTGTGGTGCGCGGGCTTCTCATTGCGGTGGTTTCTCTTGTTGAGGAGCACGGGCTCTAGGCGCGCAGGCTTCAGTAGTTGTGGCACGTGGGCTCAGTAGTTGTGGCTTGGGGGCTCTAGCGCAGGCTCAGTAGTTGTGGCGCACAGGCTTAGTTGCTCCGTGGCATGTGGGATCTTCCTGGACCAGGGCTCGAACCCATGTCCCCTGCATTGGCAGGCAGATTCTTAGCCACTGCGCCACCAGGGAAGCCCACTATGTGATTTTTGACTTACTATAAAACTACAGAAATCAGGAGTGTCATATTGGCATAAAGATAAACAAAAAGACCAAGGAATTAGAAGACTAGTGAGGCCAGAAATAAACACACACATAAATGGTCAATTAACTTTTGACAAAATAGCCAAGGTAATTCAATGGGAGAAAAGACAATCTTTTCAACAAGTGGTGCTGAAATAGCTAGAAGTCCATATGGTAAGAAGTGAACCGCAACCCTTACATCACACCATACAAAAAATTAACTAAAAATAGATCATAGACCCAAGCATATGTGCTAAAACTATAAAACAGCTAGAAGGAAACATTTCTAAAATTGTGACCCTAGGTAGACAAAAATTTCTTTTTTTTCTTTTTTCTTTTTCTTTTTGGCCATGCTAAGAGGCTTGCAGCATCTTAGTTCCCGCACCAGGGATTGGACCTGGACCTTGGCAGTGAAAGTGCCGAGTCCTAACGACTGGACCGCTAGGGAATTTCCAAAAGTTTCTTAAATAGGACACAAAGGCACGCAGCATAACAGAAAAAAAAACCCTGATATGGTGGAATTCAGCAATTAAACACTTCTGCTCTGAGAAAGGCACAGTTTAAAAAATGAAAAAAAAAATAGTCTTTTGTTTTTAGTCTGTGTTTCCATAGAGGAGAATACATATTACAAACTCACAATACATATATTTGGCAAAGGACTATATCCAGAAAATATAAAGAACTCATAACTCAATAATAAGAAAACAAACAATCTAATTAAAACGGGGGGCTTCCCAGGTGACGCAGTCGTTAAGAATCTGCTTGCCAATTCAGGGGACACGGGTTCGATCCCTGGTCCAGGAAGATCCCACATGCCGCAGAGCAACTAAGCCCGCGTGCCACAACTACTGAGCCCTCATGCCACAACTACTGAAGCCCACGCACCTAGAGCCCATGCTTCGCAACAAGAGAAGCCACCGCAATGAGAGGTCCGCGCACCACAACAAAGAGTAGCCCCCGCTCGCCGCAACTAAAGAAAGCCCGCGCTCAGCAAAAAAGACCCAGTGCAGCCCAAAATAAACAAATAACTAAACAGGGAATGTATATATATATATATATATATATATATATACATAACGGAATCACTTTGCTGTACAGCAGTGATTAACACAACACTGTAAATCAACTATACTGCAATAAAAAAAATTAAAAATTTTTAAAATAAAAAATATTGTCTTTCTATAAATGAAAAGTATCTCAGAGAGTCATTTTAAGGATTGAACAAATGGTTAGCACAGTGACTAACACATAGTAGGGACTCAGGAAATGTTAGCTAAATAGGTATATAAATATATATATTCCAGTTTTCCCCAAAATGTACAATGTAGATAAATTATTATAGAAAAAATGACTAGAAAGAAACACACTAATATATTGAGTGATTATTTCAGAGTGGTAAAATTGTGGATGATCTAAAAATTTTTATTCAGAACCGTACGATAACTGTGTATATATTTTCCTTATTTTTTATGCATATATTTTCTAATAACAGTGGAGATTATTAAAAAGGTAAAAGCTTTGGGCTGTTGCAGGTAGGTCCAAGGAAACTCACTGAAGTGTAGTTTGTATGTAGGAGATGATGTGACACCAGTAGACATCCAGCAGGTTCACGTGACTTTAGTTGTGTTACTCCTTGCAGTGGAGTCCTGGGAAGCCAGCAAAATGAAAGAAGCATATCTCTGTTACAAAAACAAAGTCTCAGTGTAGGAAAATGCAGCTGATTTTTGTGTGTTGACTATGTGTCCTGCCACTTTCCTGAATTCATTCATTCAAGTTTTAGCAATGGGGGGGGAGGGGGAGAATCTTTAGGGAATTCTACGTATAAGATCATATCATACATATATGATATATATATATAATATATATATATTTCTTGAAATGACAAAAAGTTTTAAGTACAATATAAACTTCAGTTTTTTCTTGAACGATTTATGAATAAGTTGCCAACATGCTGCCTCTTTATCTCCAAGTAGTTTGTATTTTGTATAAATAAGAACATTCTCCACTATATACATGGTAAGACAGAGGTGAAAGTCAGGAAATTAACACTGATGAATCATTACCATCTAAAGGGCAGAATCCAACCCCCTTTGTGATTGTGCCAATAGTGCCTTAGTTTCCACTGTATTTTTTGAAATTCGAACTGTATATTATCTTTACAAACATTTTTTAATGTTCAATAGCTACATGAAAACACACATCAAATAAAAATTAATTCATTTAACAATGAGCCCTGGAGTCCCAAGGGATGCCAGATTTTCTCAGGTCTCTGCAGGGGACCCCTCATTCCACTGCCCCCCAGAAACATATTCAGAAGGGCCAGCATGGGGAAAGGTAGTTATAGGCGGTTTGCAAAGTACAGAAAAACCTCAGGTCCTGAAAGGGCTCTAACTGGCGCCCAGGCTTGGTGGTCCCACAGAATTTTCCACCTCTCTTTAAGGTGAAACCAAGGGAAACAGGGCCCTGCTCCTGCACCGATTGCCAAGATTATTATGTTGGCAGCGGCCAGGAGGGGGAAACATGTCACTGGTTTCGCAAGGGTCCAGGCCGAGAAACATCCGGCAGGGGCGCGCATCCGAACTTTCCAACGCGTGGTGCGCTGCTGGCACGCACCTTCCACCCCCCTCTCCGTCCGCAGCTGAGAACTACAGCCGATGCGAGTGCCTTGTGGGTGCGGAATTCGGGGGCGCTCCCGTGGTCTGGGCTCCTCTCCCACGAGTGGCCTTTTAGGGACAACTAAACCACCCCCCTGAAACCAGAAAATCCCCACCTGGCACTCAGGGCTGACTGGGCTTCTGTATGGACCCCGCTCCCCGTTCCCCCTCCAGAATCCCTCGGGCAGGGCCGGGGTCGCAGGGCCGTTCAGTGAGCCCAGAAGGAAGAACTGTGAGAACGGCGCTTTAGACAGCAGCGGGGTCACGGGAGCACGGCCCTACGCGCCCCGTGTCGCTGCAGTATGCGTCTGCCTCGGGGCGCGAACTGGCGGGACCTGTCCCACCTCGGGGACAGATGAGAGGCCGGCGACGCCCTGATTGGCTTCCAAGCCCCTTCCTGCGCCACCTGTTTGCAGGCGCCGGGAGGCCGGGGAAGCGACGGAGAGGCATAAAGCCTCGGGCATCAGCGCGGGAGCCAGAGATTCACGCATCTTCTCCGCGAGGCTGCGGTCTCCAAGACACCTGTTTGCAGACGGACCGATTGGGGGGTCCGTTACACCCACGGAGCGGGCGCCAAGGGATGGCTCGGGCCCCTGCAAATTCCCTAAAGTCGGCCCCCCCCCGCATTACCACCTGGCTGCTTTGCAAAGTGCTGCAGGGGCGCAAGCCAAAGCCCCACCCCCGCCAGATCGTGACCCTCCTCAGGCCTCCAGGGACACAAAGTGCCCTCGGAGATCCAGGCCCGGACCCGCCCCGGCCACGCAATCGCTGTGTGACCCTTAGTCAGTGTCTTCACCTCCCTGAGCCTGCTATCCTCGACTGTATGAAGGAGACAAAGACACACAGGAGGCGCACAGACGAGAGACTAAGACTTTATTTGTCACTCAAGACCCCTGAGCCCCGTCCCCACCCGCCCTCCTGGGAAGGCTCAGAAGATCTTCACCAACTCCAGCTGCACGTCCCCGCCCACTTCCACCAAGAACGCGCGCCCTGCTGCGATCCGGTAGCGGAAGTGGTGGTATTCTTTGTCCTCCATCACAACCTGCAGGGGCGAGGAGACAGGGTTTATGGTTCCCGAGGCGACTGCGCGGTCATTCCCGACTCGTACCCACGCTGCGTGACCTCGTCACCCACGCGACCCCGCATTAAGGAAAAGGGCTACTCTTGATTCTAAGCCCTTGCCGTGAGGATTCAATGAGTTCACTGTTGGCACGGGGGTGCTTTTAAGTTTGGCGGTGGATGTGGTCTCCACGGTGCCCGCGTCCGCCACCTCACTGTGACGCACAGATTGAAAGTGGAGAACGGCCTGGGTGGTGGAGGGTCTACAGCGACCACTCCCTGCTGGGACTTATTTTGGGTTCTGTCTCCCAACCCATCCATTCCCCTGCCCCAGAGCCGCTACGTCAGGCGCCAGTGGACAGGGAATAGGGTCCGGGATGTCCACGCCTCCCCGCTGGACACCAACCCTTTGGGCTCGTGCTCTCTCGTCCTTGTCACCGCCATACGCCTGCCCTCTAGTGCGCTTGCGCCAGGGGAGGTGAGGGACTGGGGACGCCCTGCCCAGCCTTGGCCGCGCCTTTGCTCCCCACCTCCGACAAGGGCCTTCCTGGCCTTGCCAAGGGAAGAGACCTGGGTGTTGGCGGCCACCCCTGTGGCAGAGACGCACCTTGAAGCCTTTTATTTTGGCAATGAGGAGCAGATCGAAGGCCTCCCCACGCTGGAAGGCAGAGCCAGAGCCGAACTCCTCTAAGACCCAGTCGCCGCACTTCAGGGCGTTGAAGACCACCGAGGATTCATCCAGCCGGGGGTTGAAATGCAGGACGATCTCACTGTCCGGCTCGTCACTGCACAGCAGGTTTATGTAGAACCTGTCAGGTGGCGGATGGGAGGGGGCGTCGGAGAGAGGACTTACCGATTGCCGGAGCACATCCAGGTTTACAGGGACCTGAGAGCCACACGCCAGTGAAGGAGGGGTGGTGGACTGGAGGCCAAGGAGCCCAGATTCCAGGACATCCAGAAACCAACCGGGGACCTGGACACACATCCACCCAGGCGAGGGTCACTGTACTACGGCCTGGGTCCCCCGCATTTCCAGAGTCTGGGAGTTGCCGAGGAGTCATGGTCCTGAGACCGTGGTGCCTCCGATCCCCCAATAACCAGAGGGCCGGGAGCAATACCAGGGGCCCCAGTATTCCCAGGCATCGCAGATTCCCAGAAATCCTGAAGCTCCCGACCCAGGACGTCATAGGTTTGATTGCTGAGGCCTCCCAGGTGCGCAGGGCACCTCTGACTCACAGGCTGTGTTTCCGCAGTTGCTTCAGACTCAGACGGGAAGTCTTACTCTAAGTAAGAGCCTTGGATTGCCCTGGAACTCCCAGATTCTTAGAAAGTTGTAGGGACCCCAGGTACACTGTCCTGGGACAAATGAGTAAAGACATCAGATTGCAGAAGGTGGGAAATAGCTTGGAGATTCCAAGACCCTGGCGGGCAAAGCTGGCCTGGGGCTCGTTCTCTGGGATGTAAGAAGTGCGGTCAGCTGAGCTTGGAGACCTCCCACCCCTTGCCGCAGAGGCTTGGAGGTCTCACCTGTCAGCATTTTTGGGGACGACACCACGAATTCTCATCACGGTGCCGACTTCGAAGCCGTTGGCCAGCGAGGTCCTGTAGGGCACTTTCTGCAGTAGCAGGGGTGCGGTGGCCAAAGTGGATCAGGGAGGCAGAGGAGAGAGACACATGGGTCAGCGCCGGGGAGAACATGGCCAGGACCCAGGCCAGCAGAATCAGAGAGCAGAAAGGGCACAGAGGCAAAGGAAAGAGAGCCAGGCGTA